TATCCTCATTATTTAATCTTGTCATTTTATTTTAAAATTAAAAATCAAATAAAACATATATCATATTTTAATTTTTATTATCATTAATTTATATATTTTGTATATATATATTTGCAAAATATCACACTCTATAAAAAAATTAATACAAAGTAAATTCTTACAAAAAATATATATATTTAAATTTATTTTCATCTAATATTATAAAAGTCTATGTTTTTATACTATCTCCCATAGTAAGAATGTTATTTACTTTTGGTATGAAATTTTTTATATATTAATATTATTTTGTTTATAATACAAATTGATATAAAATGATTTATACCCTTAATAAAATATTTCTACTAAGAGAAATATTTGGTCCTTAATGATTTATGCAAATTCTGAAATGAAACAAACAAAATAACAATTATACTAAAATGAGGTATAATTTTATTATGCTATTTTACAATTTTAAATGACTTATATACAATAGTAAAAATTGTTATAAATAATTTATATAATTTTATTATGCTATTTTACAATTTAAATGACTTATACTCCATCCGTCCAAGCTAAAAGTATACAATTACTTTTGACGCGGAGATTAAGGAATAATAGTATGTTAATTATAGTGGGTAGGTAAAAGTAGTAAAATGATATTTTTGCCCTTATTTTTTTTTGGTATAAAAGTAATGATGTGATGTAAAGTAGAGGTATTTGTGAAAAAAATGAGGTATTTAATGAAATGATTACTTTGTAATTGAACGTCCTAAAATAGAAATATGTATACTTTCCAACTGGACGGAGAGAGTATACAATAGTAAAAATTGGTATAAAATGATTTATATAATTTTATTATACTATTTTACTATTTTTTTAATAAAATATTCTAACTATGTAATTAAAAAATATAAAAAATATATATATCCTTAAAATATTATAAAAAATTGAATGTATTTAATTTTTATATAGTTTTGCATGTAATATTTTGTATAAAAATAAATAATTTTTACAAAAATGGTAAAGTAACATAAAAAAAAATTAAAATTAAAATTGAATATAATATTGGTTTTATTTTTGTAAATTTTTGAAAAATTGAATATGTAAAATAACATAGATTGAATTTTAAAAATATATCTAAATCTAACTAAATGCTATACTATTCTCTCTTATTTATTACTACAGTTAGTAATCATTTTATTGGTGAAAATAGGGGAAATAGAAAAAATTTTGGAACAAAAGATTTGATTCCCTCGAACCAAGGACCAACCAATGTCCTTCCCTGCCACCTTATACCTCATATTATAAAGAGATTCGATGGCTGATTAATCACAACAGTCGGGATCGACCCAACACCGCCAAGAGACTTTCGACATAAGACACCTCCACAGGTCACAAGAGTGAGTCCACCACCACAACCAATGCCCACTACCGTCCAGTCCACTTAATCATCGAACCAGACTCTGATACCAATGTTGTTATTCTGGATCTTCCTGAACGTTGGGGTGATTTGGACAGATTCTTAACCAAATAATTAGTGCGGATAAAACTCAAAGGTTAAGAATATAAAGTAAAAGAAAAATTGCTCAATCGGTGAAGTAGGCTCATATCGCAGCCACTCCTTCACCAACTCCAAATCGTCCTACGAGGTAACCCATGAAAGTGTCGATTAGAAACAAGGTGGAGATTGTTGGTGTGTTCAGCCTCGATCCAAATCCGATCCATTACTAAACAAACAAATTCGTTAACTTTAACACACGAATAACCCCCTATTATATACTCCCTCCGTCCCATATCTATGTATCCATTTGTTTTTTGCACGGAGTTTTAGAAATATTAGTATTATATTGGGATAAAGTAGAAATAAAGGTAAAAAGACTAAATTAACCCTATTAGTATTGTATGATATAAAGGTAATGACATTTGTGTAATATATTGCAAATTAGAAGGGTATTTGTAATGTTAGGTAGATAGTACAATTACTAAAAAAAAAGAAACGGATACTTTGTTATGGGACGAACCAAAATGAAAAAATAGATAGATTATTAAGGAACGGAGGGAGTAGTATTGACTACGCATAAAATATTATGGTTCAGTTATGGTGCTTATTGCTGATTTTTTCAAATTAGCCGTGATCAAAAGTGCAGATATAATAAAATATGTGTTATTTCTTTATATTTAAAATATACTAAAATATACTCTATGTTATTTAAATTTATTTCCTTTTTTGTTTTTTTTTGTTGTTATTCAAATTTATTTCCGTTTTTTTAGTAGAAAAATATATATTTTTTTTATACTTTTTATTTACCCTAAAAAGAAAATTTTCTATTTTTACTCATTTTTTTTTAAAACTCGTACACGGTAAAATAAATATAAATTTAACCTAAAAAATAGTAAAAATAAACTCTTAAAATTTGAGAAAAATAACTATTTTGAGTATATTTACTATTTTTTGAGATTAAATATAAGAAAAATAAATATATTTGTAATTTTAGTGGTTTAGAAATTGAGATTCTAAACTATATTCGTAGTTTGATTTCATTTAGATCAAATATCGTTAAATAAGGACCGCCAATGGGGTTAGACGAGAGTTTATGAAACCACGAGTGAGTTTAACGCAGTTTTAGAAGTATAGGAGATTTGACGCAATTTCATGAAACTACGTGTAGGTTTTGTGCAATTTAGCCATTTACTTTTTGCATCATTAGACTTAACATTAAAAATATTCTTATATTTATATAATTTTTTTTTTGCATTAATATCATTATATTAATATTAAAAGACAATACTAAAAATATTTTTGTCATTTTCTCTTAATTTGTATTACGTTTGATATAATAATTTATATTTAAATATCAACACGCAAAAAGTAAATGTGACTGGTAGAGCCGGAAAGAGAAAGAATATTTTATGTAGTATCAACACTAAACAAGTGCCCGGAGAGAGTATTATAATTAACCAAATTGACAACATAGCGTAATTTCTTACATTTAATTTACAAAACCAAATAATAATAGGGAAAAAATTATTTTTGGTCCAAATATAATCAAAATTTATTAATTTTGGTCCCAATATAAAAATCTTATCAATTTTGGTCTCAATATAACAAAAACTCATCATTTTTGTCCAAATATAACCAAAACTCATCATTTTTCGTCCCAATATATTTTATCAAGTTTAGTCTCAGTATAATTAAAACTCATCATTTGTTGTCCCAATATAATCAAACCTTATTTTTTTTTGTCCTATCGTTAACAAATCGACGGAAAATACTGATGTGAAAAAAAATCACACTTTATATTTATATTTGAAGAAATTGCACAATTTTGCAAGTCCATGTTAGCATTTTTCGTCGATTTATTGACGATGAGACCAAAAAAGATAAGGTTTGATTATATTAGGACAAAAAAGTATGAGTTTTGGTTATATTGGAACTAAAATTGATAAAAAATTTATATTGGGACAAAAAAATGATGAGTTTTGGTTATATTGAAACAAAAAATGTTGATTTTTGATTATATTGGAACCAAAATTGATAAGATGTTTATATTACGACTAAAATTGATGAATTTTAATTATATTGAGACCAAAAATAATTTTTTTTCTAACAATAATAATTCAAACTAACCACTTGTCGTTGATACGACGTCGTCTCTGATGGGTATATTTGATATATATATATATATATATATATGTTTCAAGAGACATTAAAGAAGGTCATTAAAAAAAGGCGGAGAATTCGGGAGAGGATGATCAACTCACTTCACAAAGTGAAAGTCGCATTCGACGCAAGACTTGTTCCTCTAAAAAGTAGCAGTTGTCAAATGCGACTTTGATTTGGTCAATAATCGTATTTAGGTTTCCAAATATTTCAACAACTATACAATTAACATAAAAGTCTAGAACAAGAAAACGGGTCAATTTGCAATTAGAAAAAAATTATTCCATACCCTTCTTCTGAGTTTTGTTTACCATAATACTATTATTTTCATAAATAATCATGTCACAGTAAAATTACTCATACTTTTTTATTTTTATTATTTTTATTGCCACATTTTTTTACACTAATAAGTAAAAAAGTATTTTACTCGTACTTTTCATAAATATTCCGTGACTAATCAATTAAGACTATAGTTCTGAGACGGAGGGAGTATAAAATTGAGATTTTACAAAGTTTGCAATATTATTTTTGAATTAAAATAAATTAAGTGCAAGAAATATATAATGGCTCGTCTCTATGTGGCAATAATAGGCCGAAATTTAAACAAAAATTAAAATTTGTTACTAAATACAACTCACTCTCCTTCTACGAATTTAAGATAAGTATAAGTAATAAATAATTAAAAATATATTAATAAATATTAGAAAAATATATTTTTATTCATTATATTTTATATTGTATTTTATTAAAATATTAATTCATTTTTTTATATGATATAAATATGTTTTTAAAAAGCTCATGGAATACCTATTGGTTAAAATTTAATGCTGAATGTATTAAATGCTATTACTATTACAATTATAAGACAATTATTTAGTAACAACATAAAGTATTATTTAAAAATTAATTAATATTATTAATTAATTAATTAGTAGTCTTGTTTTGACACAAAAATATAAATTTATAACATTGTCCAAAAATAATTTTGTTTCTAATAATAATTACATACGCACCAAAATTGATTTCTAGTCTTATATGCCAATTTTCGAATAAAAATTTACAGTAAATTGTTAAAAAATGGTTACATTTTAAATAAAAATAAATAATGACTTATAATATTTTAGAAGAAAATAATTAATTTAAAATGAAGAAAAATATTTTATGAAATTCTAGAATTTATATATAAATAGAAAAGGAAAACCTAAAGATTATAAATATGGGAAAGAAAAAAAGTCGTACGAAATAAATACACCAATTAATAATATAGAGAGGGTAAAGGATAGGTACAATCATATATAGAAAATAAAAGTGAGGGACTAATTTGCAATTAGTAAAGTTATATATATTGGTGGTTGAATGTGGTGTACGGTCTCGGCTTCATTAGGCGACTGGTTTCCACTGATCATGCGACGGCCAGGCGGGGGACGAAGACTTTGAATTGAATCCTCTCCGCCCATGAATTTCTTCGTGTTAGTGTTTAGCGTATGCGTGAGGGCTACGAGCGATGAATTGAGTGCAATATATGGATGAAGAACGGGATCAGCTTATGATGATGGTGTAATTTATCGAATCTTTCACGTAGATATTACAGTTTCCTTGTTTTCCCGCCACAGTTGTTGAGATAGCGCATGTGCATCGAGAGAAACGAAGTTTGGACGGACGCTGTTGTATTCAGGTTTGTGCAATTTCAATTGTGTGGTTGGATTTGGATTGGATGAGTAAATCTGTTGATTTTGATTTTGAGTATTTTTTTTTGGATCCTTTTTTAATTCGATTGGTTTGGTATTGGTCGGATTGAGTTTGTTTTCCTTGAAAGGGGGAAGTTAGGGAAGTGGAAGGAATCTGGGCGGATTTTTTGGCTTTCCATGTAGTTTCGGAGTTGGACTGATTTTTTTAATCATAGTTTTTTGTTTGACTGGAGATTTTCCGGTAATTCGTCCAACGGTGGCGCTTGATTTAGAAAGTGAAGTAGTGGAGAATATTATTTGTTTTTAGAATTCTGTAATTGCTTAGAAACAGATTGCTTTGTTTGTTTCTGTGATCGTTATTAATTTAGAGTTGTTCGCTTGTTCATTGATTCTGAAATCATACTTGGTAAGATATAAATAAAGCCATGGAGATTTTACAAAAATTGGAGTATTTATGGTTACAGAGATGATGAACAACTCTGTAAATGTTAATACAACTGCAGTAAGGAAATCTATCCATTGGTGAAAGAGTTTGATTCAGTTTCTGTCATGGTGTATTCATCTTCATCGTTTTCATTGCAGAGTTTGAAAAGCTAGATTATCTGTAAGAACTTTGGAAGGATATATATATATATACATATAGACATGGGAAAGTACTTTTGGATGAAAGGCTCCGGTGAAGAAAAGCACAAGAAGCAGCCAGGATGCATGTTCGGATTAGCCCATATGTTCAGTTACCATTTTTGGCACTCGAGTCCGAGAAAGAAGATTCGACATCACCTTTACGAAGGCCAAAAAGATGATAGAGGTGAGCATGTTGCAACTCATTTATCATATATCTTGCTCTGTAATCTGTATTGAGTGGTCTGAGGAAGAAAGTGAGCTGTTCGATTCATCTTTTGACTTGTTTAGTGGCTTCTGTAATTTCCAGGCGACGGAAGAACACGATTGTTTCAGCACGACGACGAAACAGAAATGCTTCTGGACGGAAACCAGAGTCCAATCTCCGTAAGTCTGCATTTGTTTGAAACTGATCCTACCATTCAACTTGCATCCATCTCATGTAAAGATTTTATTTCGTTGAATCAGAATAGCCGAAAATCTCCTCAAACAAAGAAACAATCTCGACCATCTCGCAAAGTGAGGATAAAAGCATTGATTTCCGAGGAGATTGATAAGGAAGTTGAGAATGGAGGACCCAAAGGAGGCTCTTTTGAGCCAAATCTGCAGAGAACTTATTCCATACACCACCTGGAATCCATGGATGTCGACTGGAAACATTCCATCATCTTCCTTCCCGGGAATGCCAACAATGGCCGTGCTCCTAAATCACTAGACGCATCAAAAACAAAGGTTTCTGGTGGTCTAGAGGCAACGGAAAAACCATCGAAGGATACAGAAGATCGTGATTATCGGAAGAATCTTGATGTTGTGGATATGTTCGCGCTGGACAAGGGGACGCTGATCAAACATATGCAAGATCAGGATGATGGTATTGCCAGTTTCGCTCGTACTGCGTTGGGTTTAAAGCAAAAAGTGAAACTGAGCAAATCAAGATCCTTCCCCATGCCTCATTTGTCACAAGAAAGAAAGCTCAAGCCTGCGAAGATCGAAAATAAACAAAATGAAGTTTGGTCACATCCCAGGAGAAGCATGGTTCGATCGGCTAGTCAAGCTCATTCGTCGGATTATCCGGATTATACTGCTTTGGCATCTGAAAAACTACTGGATGATTCTGAGAGCGACTCCATGATCAAACAGGATTCGAATGCAGACAAGAATAATGAAGAGATTGCTGATGAGAAGTGTGAGAATATGACGAGCAAGAACGGTGAAATTCGTGACAAGAATGATACGAAGAAATATGGTCGCAGCAGAAGTTCATCTATAAAAGAATCGCTGGAGAAATATGCGCGGCTTTTTGAGAATAGTTCGCAGGCAGACGTGAAATTAACTTCCTCGATGAGCTTGAGAGTGGCAAATGAATACGGAAATGCTCCAGTACATTCTCGAAGGATGCTTTCCCTGTCGAATGTCGATTTTTACTATTTAACTTCGAATATTGAGGGCCTGGCTGATGATCCTGAACTAAAAGGCTCCATTGTTGCCTCAGAAGCTACTGATTCAGGTCCTGAAAGTAATCCAAGGGAAAGAAACGATGTCGTAAGTACAAATATAATGGAACACGATACATTTGTGTCGTCGCCCGCAAGTGATGATGAATCCGAAATGAAGGACAGTTTCGAAAGGGAAGAACATAAGCCTGAGGCAGAGTCTTGCGCCGAGCTTGAAATGTCGAAGGGTATTATTACATTATATTACATAAGCTGTTTTTACTGCAAGCTCTAATACGTTATCATCGTTCAATTTTCATGTCGTATTGAACAGATCCTCGTGAAGATCCTGAGAACGACAAAATGCCGAGCAAGAGTTACTCGGATTCGGATTACGTAAAGCGCCTTCTAGAACAATCCAACATCGCAAACGACACATCGGAGATGTCATGGCACGCGTCGGATAAGCCATTCAGTCCAGAGCTATTCGAGGATGTCGAAACACGTTGGCCGCACGAGCAAGACGAATTGACAGGATGGCCCGACTTTTACGGGTGCTGGCACCACCGGATGGTGTTTGATTTGGTTAACGAGGTTACGCTCGAGGCCTACGACGTGTCGCTCCCGTACTATCCGACGGCATTGTCCTCGAGCTGCCATGTTCGACCTTTTAGCCGCATTGCCGAGGATGTGAGCGGGATCGTCGAGGGTCTGCTGAAATTGAACCCGTTGACGACGGAGGCGGTGGACGATATCGTCGCGGTCGACATGAGGGGGCGCGGCTGGATGAACCTTCAGACGGAAACGGAGTGCGTCGCGCTTGAGCTTGAAGACATGGTTTTCGACGAGGTAATAGAAGAGACTATTATGATGCTTTTGTTTTGTTAAAGGTTGTTGCTTTCTTTTCTCTTTTCGCGTCGTTTTCGATTCTTTTTGTGCGTCGCGGCACAATACAGTTTTGATCGATCGGCCGGCGGCGGCGGCGGCAGTGGCACAGCCGCCGGACTACGCATTGTGTAATAAATATAGCAATGGATATGTATATAGTAGTGATAAGGTTATGTGAGGGGTGATTGAAAGTTTACAGTGGTTCTTGTAATACTCTGTCTCTGTGTTCTTTGATGAGCAGAGGATTATTGCTTGGATTTTGGTTAAGGCTTGAAAAATGATAGTAATATAATTGAGGATCTATCATATTATTTTTTATTTTTTTATTTTTTTCAGTGATACAACAGACTATCAATATTTTTTTTAAAAATCGGCCTCCAAATTAGTTTATCATATTATGTCTTCCTCCAATTGGAAATCCTAAATATCAACATGGTCACTTTATATCATTATTTTTTTAATTATTACTTAAATTTATACATAATTTATCTACAATAAATCACTTTATCCATTTTTAACCATTATTTTTTATAAATAATAATAAATTTATTATTATTATTATTTTAACTTTTTAAATTATCTTTTTTTATTAATTCAATAATTTTTCATAATTTATTATTATTTTTTATTTTATTTTTTATGTATATCATTTTTATATTAAAATATCGTTACTCAAGCAAACTCATTTAACTTTGTGGATGGAGTGAATGGTTATGATCTTGATTAAGGTTAATCACATTGTTAATTAGCAAAAAAAAAAGAAAAAAATTTCCAAAGTAACGCAAGACAACGAGACATGTTTCATGAGCTAACCTTTCACATTTTAAAGTGCGATTTATAAATATATCTCGGGAGTGTTTGTTTGGAGGATTGGATTTTCAATCCACTGTTCATCCCATTTTTTTCTCCCAAAAAATATCAAATCAAACACCTATTTTTCTTTTTTTATATTATACTAAAAATATGTTTTACATTCAAAACATCACATCAACGTCTATTTATATCACATCATACAACTATTCAAATTCAAAATTTTTACTATTCAAATCCCAACTCAAAATCCAAAATCCCAAACAAACACACCCGTCATGTGTTCAAATAATATATTCATGAGACATACTATTAAAAATATTTAAAATACTAACAATATTATTTATATAAAAAAATTACTCATTCCGTCTGTCTTTCCCATTTACCATTTGCGTCGTTGTATTTAATATTAAAAATATTTTTATATTTGTATAATTTTATTTATAAATATTTTTGCAATTTTTTCTTAATTTGTACTACATTATGGTATAATTATTAATATTAAAATATCAACAAACAAAAAATAAATGAAACCTTGAACTGAACAAAAAAAATATATTACAACTTATTATTAATAATTTACTAATTTACAACATCATAAAATACTGGTAATCTGACCCCGAGACAGGGTGAGTACTACATCTTTGTTGCTTCACTGATTTAATAAATCGTTTTATTATTTTTTATCATATGTTTATTTATTAAGCAAGGTTACTTTTTTATTCAAGAATAAAAATTTGACTTTGTATCTTTTATGTTTATTTTGTTGTCATCAAATGTGTGTTTGTTTGAGGTATTGGATTTAATACACTATTCATTCCATTTTTTTTCCAAAAATATCAAATTAAACACCTATTTTTTTTTTTTTTTATATTATACTAAAAATGAATTTTACATTCAAAAGATCACATCAACACCTATTTATATCACATCATACAACTATTTAAATTCAAATCCCAACTCAAAATCCAAAGCCTCAAACAAACACACCCGTCACTCAAAAATAATAATAATAATAATAATAATAGAGATTGATCATTATTATATATATTAATATAAATGAGACAAATGGCATGCCCTGGAATTCATACATTCATTTCATCATTTAAAACATCAAACACAAACACAGACAAAGTATCATCATAAACCAAAAGCAAAGAAGCAAGACATGGCTGCCTGAATTGCATTCGATCATCACAATGCAATATTAATTATATATATATATATATATATTCAGGCAACTTTAATTTATTTGCATCATACAGGATTATATTGCAAGGACAACTTCATCTTCTTCGATTTTCTTTTCCAGGACAGCCGCCACGCCGATCTTTCTAACACTTGCAAGGATTGCAAGAGCAGTTCGCTCCGCACTTGCAACCGCCTTCGACTGCGCCCATCTCCTCCGATCCACCTTCTGCATACCTGAACAAATTCCAAAAGATTCGCTCTGTTCTCTCAGCATCAACTTTGAATTGAAATTAATATATTCCCTTTCTTCATTTTTTAATGTCCTAATTGATATTTACACTTATTTTTAGGTAATTAGATTTTTTTGTTATAAAATGACAAATTTGTCCAAATAGAAAGAGGACAATAATAGTTGCACGTTCCAAATAACAAAGTAAAACGTTAGTTCGTAGACAGGGAGTATAAAATATTTTATATAAAAATAAAAAAAAAATTCAAATACTTATTACAAAAGTAAAAAATAAAAAGTCAAATATTAAACTTTCGACACAATTCTCCATACCACATAAAAAAAACTATTTCATCTAAAAATATCGGATGAACTGAACCATTATTTTGTGTTTTAAGTATCTATTCATTTATTTATTATGACATAGAAACTCGTAGCTATTATTTTTCGCTCGACTAAACTCCTTGCTGAACCTACTAGGCCACTAAGGCTAAAATTTTCTTTTAAGGTTTCTTGTAAGTTTTTTTTTTTTTTTTTTTTTTTTTTTTTTTTTTAAGTATAAATTTTTAGGATTTTAGTACCTACGAATTAGGGTGTTAAAAATTAAAATTGTTGGTAAATAGTGTTAGCTCTTTCCATGGTATAATATTTTATTTTAATTAAAAAAAAAAAGTATATATATTTTTTAAATAGTTGTTGATATGATATTACAAACGACAAAAATACATACATCTGGGCGACGCCTTCAATGATGATCGAGGCAGAGGTGCTCTTCTCTATATCAGGGTACATCCCACACCTATCAAATTAAATTAACGCATACAACATATAATCACGAAAAAGAAATTGAGGATCGATCGAATTTCAACCCAAGAAATTTATTGCATTAAAATATATATATATATATATTTTGATGAATACTAAATTGTATAATATGTAATAAAATTAGTTAATGTTACCAACCCGCAGCCGTTGCCGCACTTGCAGTCAGAGCCACAGTTGCATTTTCCTCCACAGCCAGACATCTTAATTTCAGACAAAGAGAAATTGGATCTCTTATGGATGATTAATTGGAATTAATTAGGTACTTTGCTTCTCTTATGTGACCCCTATTTATAATGGATTAGGATTAGGGTTCGGGTTATTTAAATTAATATTTTATATTAATTTATATTAAAATGTGGGTAAAGTCAAGGAGGTTTCTTTCAAGCAAGAGATAAATGCATCATCATCAGATAGACATACAAATATATAAATATATAGGAATGATTATCGCGCTGATTTGAAAAATTCAGTACACTACCCACAATATATACAAACAATATATATTTTTAATATTTCCGATGAAATATATATATATATTTAATATGTCCCGTAAGGGATGACGTGATAGTATAGCAGTTGGACTTGTGACCGTGAGGTCATGGGTTCAAACCCCCGACGCCTCAGGTCACCTACCACACATGGTTCGCTTAGTGGGACTTTTCCATCGAGTTTGGTTTGCAGGGTATTAGGTTCGGCCGGGGTTACCCACTTTCGGGTAGCGGCTAACATATAAAATGTGTTGTATATTGTATGTTGTCAGACAATACACGTTCAACCTATAGCTGCCGTCGAATCAATCAATCAATCGATGCATGTATATGTATGTGTGTATCTTTGAGATAATTAACGAAAAAAATTGGTAAATTTTGGAGAAAAATTATGAAAGTGTATTATTATGAAAATAAGAGTTACAAAAATATATATACTAGCGGGTTCAGATATTAACTCGAGTTTGTCCAAGAGCAATCGGAAGCGGCTGGGAAAAAGAGACTTGGTGAAGATATCGGCTATCTAATATGCGAAGGAGACCGAAACAAGATGGACAGCCTCACCGACGATATGATGTCGAATGAAGTGACACTCAAACTCAATATGCTTGGTGCGCTCGTGGAAGGTATAATTGTGGGTCATCTTCATAGATCTCTGACTATCGCAGTGAGGAGTCGTAGAAGATGGCTGGGGAACACTAATATGAGTGAGTAATCGACAAAGCCATAAAAGTTCTAACGTAGAGTCAGCAAGAGCATGATACTTGGACTCAGCACTCGATCGAGAAACTAAAGTCTGCTTCTTGTTGCGTCAAGAGATGAGAGAATCCCCCGCTGCTTTCCAGTTGACACTGCCCACAAAATGAGAATCGTTGTCGTCCGGCGACCTAGCCTACCGAAAATCTCCGCCAATGGCTTAGTACTCCCGTAGTTCTCTAGCTCTAGTGAGAGTCCTGTCGTTTCCGACTCTATTGTGAGTCCTATTGTTTCCAATTCTAATTTAGTTGAAGACATTGTTTTGGCTTTAACACGGTGGAGCAGCGGCGACAACCATAGATAACCAACTTGTTGGCCCCAAATTTCGCTCAAAACCACACAACAACAACCACGAACAACAAAACAACACCAATATGTTCCCAGATAAATTCAATTGTACACAGATAGTTCGTAGATAGACCAAATAACGTATGAACTCTGAAGCAGTAAAATCGAAACAAGAAACAATTGTTAACCCAATTCGATCATCAACGATCTATATCTGGGGGGTTCCAATCCATGCCTAATTCAACTTGTCAAGAATCAAATCGAACTTACAAAGTAGCATTTTTGAAATTCAACCCTCAAAAATCTCCTTTCACTCTCACGAAAGATTTCTTAACTTTAATCTCACCACCGCTCACCCTGCCTCTGCTCATCTATTCTTCTTTGAGCCAATCTATCCAAAAACCCTTTCCTCATTCTTTCTAATAATTACATCATGATTTCTCTTTTAAATCTCTATTATTATTATTATTATTATTATTATTATTATTTATTTTTTATCTTTTAATTTTTAAGCCCACTTACTATGATTCATCGTTGCTCTATTATATCTATTTCTCTTCGTAGCTCAGCATCATTCTTTAATTCTCCCACCTCTAGAATATTCCATGTCACTCTTAATAACTTCCTTGCTACCCCACACCAACACTATTAGAATTTGTTATACCAAATTTTTTGATTCCATCAGCGATAATGAGGACCAAAGCTGATCTCTACTCTGATATTTGGGTCATCAATTTAAGAGATATGGATCATCTCCAATCGGGTCTCCTTCAAGAGTTGGGCTAAAAACAAATTGGATCGCGTGTATCCAGCGAAGTTCATTCGTTGATCGGACCATCTGTAAACAACATCAACCAAAATCAACAAACTACAACCCAATTTTCAACACAACTGTTAATTTTATTTGCGTTTTTGTATTTGTATTTAATTTTCTTATCAAACTCAAGTTGGTTTCTGTTATACCACTTGAATTTGAGATGATGCTAGAGATATTTTAAATCTTCTGTTTTAGATTTAGTAGATTTAGATTTAGATTTAATTTTATATATTAGATTATTTATATTTGAGTCTGTCGAAACTGTTTTATATGGCCTATAAATAGATCTGTTATCTTGATGATCAATACAGTGCAATTTTTTAATTTTCATAATTTATTTTCACATGGTATAGAGATGATCGTCTCACCTACAAGTTTAAAAATTATTAAAAATACGTATAGTTTATTTTATTTATCAGAATCAAACTAAATTTGCCTGTGGACAACGACAAACGGGGAACGGTGAGAGTCGAACTCGAGACCTAAAGCTCTGATACTGTGTTAGAATTTGAAAAAAAAATAATTATGAAATTGTATTATTATGAATTAAGAGTACAAAAATGTATACTAATGAGCTCGGGGCTAAACTAAAGTAAATATTACATTCGTCCACACTATTTTTCTTTTGTGTGAGTGTACTTATGCAATTGTATTTGTAGTATAAGAGACTAATAGATACTATATTTTTGTCAATTTTTTTTTTTTTAATTTGTACTACGTATTAGTATAATAATTAATATTCAAATATCAACACGTAAAAATTCATAAACTAAAGTATTAATACAAAATAGATATCTATATCTACAAAAATAAAAATAAATAAATAAATAAATGTCAGCGTCGAGGTTGCCGGCCATGGAATTCTATAGGGCTTTGCGTCGTGGTCAGAAGAGATATTAATTTGTTTGATGTGTAAGAAAACGATGTGTGAGAGAAGACTATTAAACTTGCTGCTACTGCATACATATACATACAAATATATATATATAATTATATATGTATAGATTCACGACGTTCTTGTTGGGTTGTTTCGTCGATGATTTTCTACGTTGGAACCTAAGTTTTATTACTCCCTCCGTCAAGAACTATAGTTTCACTCAATGTTTGACACGAGATTTAAGGAATATTGATATTATATCGATAGTGGGTAAAAAATATAGGTAAAAAATTTTTTTTGTCGTATTGTGAGTATATTAGTGTAAAAAGTAGTGACAATTGTTTAATAATAATAAAAAATAAAGTGATTTTATAGTGATATGATTATTTATGAAAATGAAACTATTATTTTTTAGATTGACGAAATATTATTATTATTTTTTTTTTAAAGAAAAAAATATGTATATTACATATATTTTTATTGGCATTACTTATTACTTTGATTTTTAAATTAATCGTATTCAATACAAAGTTTTTTTTTTTATTATTCAATTCATCGGTATTATGATTGTGATGCCAATATTTTATCATTTTATGATTCCTTATGAATCAAAATAATTTTTTAAATTAGCATGGTGTCAATCAAATTCCCCGTAGACTAGATTCTGGTGGCTCCTTTTATTTTATATATATATATATATATATATTGGGGAAATAATTGGTGTGTTGATTAAGATTAATTATTAATTCCTCTTTTCCGTTCGAGTTATTGTAGATATGATAATTTAAAATAAATATAATTAATAAATAATTAAAAATTTATTAATAAAAATAATTGTGTTATAATATAAATAATTATAAATTAAAATTAAAATAACTAATTAATTTAATTAAAATAAATAAAAAAAATTAAAATGAGATTAAAGTGTGTAATTATTTTTCGAAAAAAAAAATGACATGAAATATAAGACGAACATAAACAGCAACGTGAACATGATAGGTGAGACGAAAAAAGTATATAAAATATAATTTGACTAACACATGTTATATAGGTTATTAGTATATGGTGTATGTTCTATTTTGTATGTGTTGTCTTAATAGTATATTTTAATAATTTTATATTTTATAAAATTTTATTTTTTACAAAATAATACTAATATTGATATATTTTTTAATAAAATGTTAATAAATAATAATAAATATTTGTTATAGTTTATAAATTAAATTATTACATAAAATAATTATTATTTAAATTATTTTAAAAATAAATAATTTAATAATATTAAAAGGGTGTTTGGTAACAGGTTTTTCAAAAGCTTATCGAAGAGCTTTTTAACAGCTTGACCAATAAACCAGTTAATTCTGACTTTTGATAAATTAATTTTTCAATTAACTTATTGGATCTAAAAAGCTAATTTTGATAAATTAGTTTTTTCATTTTAACTTTTCTTATTCTCTTTAAAATTAATTAATTCTTTCACATATATTCATATATTTTTTATTACACTATTTATTAATTATTTAAATATATTTTCTTCTAATAACTTATAAATTCATATTTATAAATTTAAAATAATTATTTTTTTTTTATATATCAATTATCTTATTTATAATTTTTTTAATCTTTTAGAATAAAGATAATATAAAAATATTAATATTATTGAATCAATTATATAGAATTTTTTATCACATAATATATTTATTTAAAATTATAAATTTAATATAATATATATTAATTAAAAATTAATCTAATAAAAATACATATGTTAATAATTTTGTTCTTTTATATTTATACTATTTCGAATGAAAAATACATATGTATTTTTCAATAAGTGGATTAATTCTTTACAAAATATTTTTAAAATAATAAAAACAAATATCTTACTAAATTTTTCTAATTTTAAAAATTAATAATAAAATTATAAAAGAAATCTATCCATAAAAAAAAAACTCAACTAAATATCTTAAAAATAAAATATAAAATATTCTTAATTATCATTTTAAGTATAAACAACTAATATCAAACCGTTATTTTACCAAACACTTTAATAGAAACAACTAATAGAATAAGTTAATCAAACCAGCTAATCGAATCAGCTAATTGCCAAACACATCCCAAGTAAAAAAACTACAATTTGGATGAATAAATTTTTTCGATGCGGGTATAAATAAAATGAATTTTTTCATTATGACTAAAATAGATGAAAAAGAAGAAAGAAATCCATATTGGGTTGATGCGGATGCTCTTACATTTACCGACATTTACCGTCAAGGAGTTCTCGGAACTAAGAACTCCTCAAATTAGCATATTTAAATAGTTTTGAAAACTAATATATAGGGTCTACGTTTTTAAACCAAACCACCTTTTGAAAACTAATATAAGGGTGTGTTTGTTTGGGAGTTTGGATTTTGGATTGGGATTTGAATAGTAAAAATTTTGAATTTGAATAGTTGTATGATGTGATATAAATAGGGTTTGATGTGATGTTTTGAATGTAAAATTGATTTTTAGTATAATATAAAAAATAAAAAATAGGTGTTTGATTTGATGTTTTTGGGGGGGAAAAATTGGATGAATAGTAGAAATCCTCCAAAATCTTTCAAACAAACACACCCTTAGAATATTTTTTAAAAAAGCTCCCGGTTAAAAAAAAAAATAATATACTTTACACAATCATTATTTTTATATTATCTACACAATTCTTTATATCTCATATATATAAAAAAAAAAAAAAAAATTCAAACCAAAACCCAACAACAAACCGAGTGAGAGATGGTTTCATATACTTACAAGGTACACAAAGCTCAGGGAAATTGAAGAAGGTGGCTTTGTAATAGATGTACCAAGGCAGAAACTCAAATGTTGATCCACAACCAAACAGCCTCTGAATCTGATATTTAGTGACAATCGATAATATGAGAGCATGCTGTTATTAATCATGACAGTAGAGAATATATCATGCATCTACTAGAGGAGAAGCTAAGAAAAACATCGGCTTCTAATTAAATTCCAGCAAATATAACAAGATATTCATCCAATCTCTACAAATGCGGTTAACTACACCAAAAATGAATCGGTAGGACAAAATACGTGCAAGAAACATACCCTTTTGCTAGCAGGCGAATCCGGGATTCAATGGATTGATGTAATTAACCTCTCAGCATAAACTAAAAGTAGATTGAAAAAAACCAAGATCGCAATCCCATCTCAAGAAATCAGCACAAGCCATCTAAAAAACACGGAGTTAAATCCTCAACAATATTCATACATACCATACAGAAGATATAGCAATTCGAACATCACAATGACGGAAAGATATAGTAAAGCAAACCATACATGGATATATAGTTTCGGTAAAATGCCATCAACAAGCACAGTTAGATTAACGATTTCATATGGAAAGCATAGGAACACACAGCTTAATGTATAGAATATATGACCTGCCCTCTACCAGAGGATCTAGTTATCGTCATGGTGGCGGCTCCTCCTCTTCTTACTGGATCGTTTCTTGTGTCTTCTGACTCGATGATCATCTGAGTCACTGCCATCTGAATCAGAGACCGAGCGTGCCTTCCTGTTTCTCCTCTTACGGCGAAGCTCAGCAGAATCATCAGATGATGAATCATTGACTGAATCCCGATGATTCCTCCTCCTATGCTTCTCCTTTCTCGTCTTCCTCTTCCTTCGCCTGCGCTCTTCATCTTCACTTGATGAATAATCATCCCTTCTTCTCCGCTTCTCCTTCCTCTTTCTTCTCCCCCGATCTTCTTCATCCTCAGAATCACTCATCTCTCTCTTTGAACTCCTTTTCTTTGACCTCCCTCTCTCTTTCCTCTCCCTCTTTTTATGCTCTTTAACTTTTCTCTCACGCCCATCATCATCATCATCATCATCCGACTCATCATTATCGTACCTCTTCTGACTCTTACTACCCTGTTTCCCACCATTAATGCTCTTTCCATACTTCTCTGCTATGGCCTTCTCCATATCCGAATCATAATCAGAATCAGAACTCTCGCTGTCTTCCTCTTCACTACTTTCCTCACTCTTCGATGCATTCTTTCCCTTCAACTTCTCCAAGCCGGACATAACTGCAGCATGTATAGCATCTGCATCCTTAGTTTCATCCTCCTTCACACTCAGAAAGTTCCTACACTGAAACGTTAAATGCCCAACCCTCCCGCACTTCTTACATGCCCCGCGCGCCTCGTCAGCATTCGACCCTGTGATCCGAGCAAGGGCAAGTAAACCCTGAAAGCTAGCATATGCATTCTCAGTGTCAGGCTCAGCAGAGGCGCTCTTCTCAGAAGCTTTAGCACTCTTCTCCTCCTTGTTCGGTGCATATGGATCGTACCCAATTGCACTCTGCCATATTCCATGGGTCTGCAGAGCGGCGCTACTGTGCACCCGGTTGTTCGCCGGCATGCGAACCCTCCCCGCCGTCGCCGGCATGTTTGGAAATTAGGGCTACGGCAACACAGATATGAAGAATTAGGGATTGCACGGATCGAGACCCAAAACCTTGACAGATGACGGAGCACAATAGTAATCAAAATTAGGGTTGTAGGTTCTTAACCCAAATTCGTTTTCCCTGCGTAGACACAATTATTAGGAAATTACCACCATTGGAAACCCTAAATAAATCTTCAAAGACGAGGACGAGCAAAATCAACTGAATTAGGGTTACGATAATGCATACGGCATATAAACAATACCATCTCCAAAAATCCGTGACAAACTTAACAAGAAATTCAAATCCAATCGATGAAAATGAGATGAAAATATAGAAGACATCCAAGATCTGAAGCTTACCGACGTTATCGCGCTGCGACCTGCGAGAGGACGAAAATCAGAGAAGCCGATAGGAGAAGACAGCGATTGTTTTGGAAGGAATCTGGCAAAACTCAAATCTGTATCTAAGACTTGGTCATCCGGTTCCAAACCGCCGGTTCGATCCGCCGGTTTTCGAACCAGCGAAACCCGAGCCGAAACCGTTTTTGCTACGGTTCGATTTCGGTTTGTGTCTTTCTCAAACTGCTAAAGACCGGTCAAACAGTAACTCCTTTCGTTCAGCTAGAAAGTATAAGTAATTTTATTTTGGGATATCTAATTATAAAGTAAATATTTTATTAAATACCTACTTTTTTCTACAAATATCCTTACTTTACTTCAAATCATTATTTTTACAAAAAAAAAAAGTCAAAAATATCATTATACCCTTTTTAACCGCTCACTATAATTAAAATACTATTATTTCTTAAACACTAAAAGTAAAATGTATACATTATAAGTGGAGAGGATAAAAATTATAGTAACACGTTAATATTAAAATATTTTTAGTTTTTACATAAATTAAATATATATATATGATACAAAAGATAAAAATATTCAAATTATTTTACATATTTTTACCTACTAATAAAATATAATTATTTTTGAACTTACTAAAAAAATTCAAATATATAAAAAGTATATTGAGGGTGTGTTTGTTTGGAGGTGTGAATTTTAAGTTGAGATATGAATAGTAAAAAAATTGGATTTGAATAATTTTATGGTGTAATATAAATGAGCATTGATGCGATATTTGAAATGTAAAATTTATTTTTATTATAATATAAAAAATAAGTATTTGATTGGATATTTTTTTATAAAAGTTTTTGTATAAATTTATCAAAAAATTTCAAACAAATACACCCTGATAATATTTTATTAAAATATATTTTAAAATTATTAAATATAATATTTAATTTAATTCTAATTAAATAAGAGTATATTATATTAATCATCGAAATAATAAATAAATAAATACAATTCTAAATAATTCTAAAAAATACTACCAAAATCCTCATCCAAGCAAATCCAAGTATGATTCCAAAAATCTCACCTAGAGATTCATCATTATTAGATTTTTATTTGATAAAACATTATATATATATAATGCATCTAATTGAAATCGTACAAATTTATTTTTTTCCTTTTTCTTCTTCTACGTAAGAAAATATATATATATATATATATATAGTAAAAAGCAATTAATTCTCCAACATGGATGTTCTTGATCTTATTCTTACAGTTATTGTTGTTATCCTTTGGTCATTTGTAGTTATAGCATTCTGTTATAATGCAAGTAGGCTCGAACACGACGGCGCAATTTACGTTGATGATAATAGTCGAGTGGCGGAGACGGTCGTTCATGTGATTCATAATTCATGGAATTTGGATTTGCTTGTCGACAGGCAAGTGATCGTTTTGGATAACAACGTCGCAGAAACCTCGGATCACTGCGCCATATGTCTTTACGGATACAAAGAGGGTGAACTTTTAGCGACGCTTAAGGAATGCGGCCATAAATATCATGTTGTTTGCGTCAAGACATGGCTAGACAAGAAAAATACTTGTCCGCTTTGTAGAACTCGTGTTATTGAGTAGTAATTGATTTTTATTGGATCACATTGTATTTATTGAGATATTTTTATTTTTATTTTTTAATTAGGTCGTTATGGTTTCATAGATTAAGATTAAAATAACTAAATAGTTTAATTAAAATTAAAAAATTCTAAAAATTAAATTTAAAATGTGATTAAAGTGTATAATTATATTTCAAAAAAAAAAAGAAAAACATAAATTATGTGGGATGGACGGAAATAAAAATAGAGACAAATTACGTGGGATGGAGGAAGTATTTTGATTAGGACAAAATTTAAATAAAATAATTATAAATGCTAATATTGATAATTTAGTTATAATTAAAATTATTATATTTTTATAAAAATAATATTAATATTAATTATTAATATATACAAAAATAATAATATAATACTATTTTTATATATTTATATTATTTTATTATATAATTTTAAATTATAATTTTTATATATTCGTATTTAATCAATTTTAGTCATGATTTTTAATTAAAATTGATTATTTTAATTTTGTATTTCAATTTAAAAATATACTTTATTCATCATACTCGAATGTATCCTTTTGAAGTGTAGTTATATGTTAAGAAACAATCTTAATTTTTTGGTTCGCGGTAAAAGATTTTTGATATTTTTTTTGCCTTGCCTTTCCATATAAAGTAATTTAAATAAAAATTAAAAATATTTTAATATTCATGTATGATTATTTTAACTATAAAAGAGATATATTTAAATAGAAGAGACGAAAATGATAACATATATATTTTGAATTGAAACAGAAAGAATAATATTTTATTTTGCAATTATCATATCAAAATACTTCATTGGTCATTGAAACTTATGCCCATTTTACTGAAAATGAATTTTTTTTAAATATTATTTAAATAAAAATTCAAATTAAGGGTGTGTATGTTTGGAAGATTGGATTGAATTTACACTATTCATCCAATTTTTTCCACTTCAAAAACATCAAATCAAACACCTATTTTTCATTTTTTATATTATACTAAAAATCAATTTTACATTCAAAACATCACATCAATACCTATTTATATCACATTATACAACTATTCAAATTCAAAATTTTTACTATTCAAATCTCAATTTAAAATCCAAAGCCCCACGCAAACACACCCTACAGTCTATTTAAAATCAGTTTAAAACCATAATATTGAATAGATACCCAAGCTTTATTTTTATAAAATATTTTATCTATTACTTTTTTACTATTTTCTTGTGTTTACTAAAAAAATATATATCTTTTTACTATCATAATTAAAGTAATAACACACCAATAATATATTTTTTAATTTTGACATAAATTACAAATATATAATACAAAAAATAAAAATATTAAAATTATTTTATACATTTTTATTAATTAAAGAAATATTATTATTTTTTAATCTACTAAAAAATATAACAGAAATTATAATATGTATATTGAAACATATTTTTTTATTAAAATATAATTTTAATTATTATATAAAATCCTCATCCAAACAAATCCAATTATAATTCCACAAATCTTGCGTGAAGATGTTAGATTTTTATTTGATAAACATTATATATATACATATATATATATATATATTCTTGCTCTTCATCTTCATAATTTCCTTTTCCTTCAAAAAATTTGCTCCATCTATCTGAAATCAACACACTTCCAAAAACTTCTTCTTCTACCCAAAAAAAAAAAAAAAAAAAAAAAAAATGGAAGTATTAACTGTTTTTTTTATAATTACTATGTCTATCAATGCCTTTTTTGTAATTATATCATGTCTTTGCTTGTGTTTTCCGAGGTTCAACAACGAGATTGCGATTCCCCTTAATGATAATAATCGAGTGGCGGAGACAGTAGTCGATGTGGTTCCTCATCATAGTACTACGAACTTGTCGAATTCGAGGAGTTTGGATTTGCTCGTGGACAGGCAAGTGATCGTTTTGGATAAGCACGTTGCAAAAACCTCGGATCATTGCAGCATATGTCTTGGCAAATACAAAGAGAGCGAATCTTTAGCGGCGATTAAGAAATGCGGCCATAAATATCATGTTGTTTGCCTCAAGAGATGGCTAGAGAATAAAGATAATTGTCCTCTGTGTAGAACTTGCGTTATTTTAAATAGTAATTGATTTTTATTAGGTCGTACTTAGATATTTTTGTTATTTAGTTTTATACTACTAGATTTATTTTTATCTTTTGGATTAGGTTGTTATGGTTTGAGTCTATTTAGTTGGTTATGTCGTACCTATTTTTAGGCTTCTATCTTTGTTTCGAATAATAATATAATTTTTGAATCGTTTATAGTTTATTAATCAAGTAGAATTGGGAATTTTATTTTATTTTCTAATTTGGTAGATATTTGATTTGATATTTGAGTTTACTTCGAGCTTGAAGATATGATTCTCGATGAGAGGTACTTGATTTACTTGTGAGGTTTTAGTTGTTTGATGTGATATAAATATGTATTGACGTGATGTTTTTAATGTAAAATTAGATTTTAGTGTAATAAAATAAATAAAAATTGGGTGTTCGATTTGATATTTTAGAGGAAAAAAAAAGTTGGAATAGTAAAATCAGGTGCAAAACTTGACAAGTAAACACACCATATATACTTTTGCTTTGTTAAAGTTGTGTATTTTTGTTTTGCGTTGTTTTCGATTCTTTTCTTGCGTTGCAGCACAATATAGTTCCGATCGATCGATGAATCGGCGGGACAGCCGCCGGATTGCACATTGTGTGATAAATTTAGCAATGTATCGAGTATATATATATATATATAGCAATAAGGTTGTGTGAGAAGTGATTGAAGTTTACGTAACTTCTTGTAATACTACTCTGTGTACTTTGATCATTTGAGAATGTTTAGGATTTACGTTTGTGTTCAATTTTATTTTCAAAATTGGTTTTTATTATACCTATTTCAGTTTGAGGGGATATTTCAATATTTAAAATATTTACTTTAAATTTAAATTTGGTGTTATTATATTATTTTTTTTATTGATTATGAATGATAATGTAATTTTTGGAGCTTCCATCAAATACTTTCACCCAGAATTTGTTTGGTTTTCATTGCATATCAATATGAATTTCAATATTTAACAATAACTCTGAAAGTACTAAAATTTTGCATACAGTTCCTTAAATTTAAAAAAAAACAATAACATAAGAAAAACACTGTCAAGAGGGTAGAATTAGTTATGGTCATGACTAGATAGGCGGTGCAAATCTATTTTTTTTTTCTTTATTACTTTTTATTTCAATTACCAAAAATTTGATATTTGGTTTCTACAAATGCAAATAAATAATACGGGCAAAAATCAGGTATAATCAAATCAAAATCAACAGAATATTATGATGACTTTTTAGATGGTTGGAACAAAATAGTATTATAATAGTTGTTGAAGACATTTCATTATTTATGCCGAGTTGAGCTTTTACTAATATTATATTATTTAAGTGTTCATTTTAGATATTTTTCAACTTTTGATTATTTTTTTTCCTATCTCAACCATGAGTATGTTACTAGCCATATTAAAGACCCTTTGATTCTTCACGTTGGTTTTGATTAATTACATTGGGTCGATGTGATTTTCTCGCAAGCTTATGGAACTGTTATTTTGTTACACTACTTGAGAGCTTACACATCTATATACTTTATCGAGAGAAAATGCGCGTACACATATCACTGTAAGGTTGGTTTGGCTTTTGATGTGTTTGACTTTGGATTGATTTGGTTGTCTTTGGTTTACTTGTCGATTTTGAGTACTTTAAGCTTGTTTTGATTTATTTTGGATCCATATTTGAGGACAAATACGATTTAAGTGTTGAGAGAATTGATAGCTCACATGCTAATGCTATACACTTCGATTGTTTATATTTGCAGAGTATTTAAATTGATTTGGTATGATTTTACTGAATTTGAACTTATTTGAATGTTTTGCAAATTTGAAATATAATTGATGAAATTAGTGGAAAATAGGAATAATTGGAGAAAATATTATTAGAGCCCAATATTTGGTTACTATTGAAATTTATGTGTGAGATTTTCAAATATTTATGATTGTTGAATTGAATAGGTCTTTTGGATCTGAATATTTATTTAATTCAATAGTATTCGAATAGGGTATCAATAATTGTACTTTTATTTGAATAGACGGCACACAAGTTGAATAGTTACATCATGTGGATTATGCAATCGGATTTTAACTGCTCTGCCTATGTAATAGTAATTCGAATTAGGCTTTTTTAGACCATAATGCAATTAGGTAATTAAATTTCTACGGTCGTACCTGAGGTTGTTAACGTAATTAGGAGCAACTAATTGGTGTACCTTAACTGTCTTACCTAGAAAAAATACTAGATGTTAGAGTTTGTTGATATTTCTAACTAGTTTATCAATTATTATGATAATTATTTTTAGTTAAAAATAAATGATCCAAGTATAAGTTTCTTACTTGTTGATTGCATTTTAATTTTAATTTTTTTTATAAAAAATTTCTTAGTTATTTTTCTTGAGCTAGCTAGGTTAGTTTTAATCCAAACCTCTTTATCTTCTTTAGTTTTGTTGAACATGAACAAATTATTATTACGAAAAATTTATGTGAAAGACGAAATCTTTCACTGTATTACATTAACTTTGTAATTAAGATAAAAAATAATTCTTGATAGTGTGACCAGTAAATAATTGTGTATATTTATATGTTTATTTATTCGTATTGTATTAATATATTCATTCATTTAGCAGTATTTTTTGGTGGTTCGAGTTTTAAATTTGGGTTTTAAATAATAAAATTTATAGTATTTGATTTATATAAATAAGTGTTAATATACTATTTTGAATATAAAATTATTTTTTAATATAATATAAAAATTAAATATTTAATCTGATACATCTATAGATAAAATAATTTTAGTGGAAAGTCTAAAAAAAAATTTATATATATATATTATATACCAATAAACATATTTTTCATATACAATATATTAAAATTTTAATATACTATATA